CCAGAGGTGGGCAATTCATTCTGAAGTTCATAGGACACTTATGAGCTGGGGGTGGGATGTATTTCTGAGCCCCTTCTAACTCCTAGAATACCCAGGCTAGCTTCCTGGTGAGGTAATGGCCCTCTTATGATGGGCCATTAAGGTCATACCCTCCATCATTTCTCCAGTGAAAATAGGAACGTCCCATTCCATAATGACAATTTTACTATTTATACCCCACACATCTTACTGGGTTGCCCCAGCCACTCTGGGCAGCTTCCAACATATATAAAAACATAATAAAACATTAAACATTAAAAACAACAACACTTCCCTGTACAGGATTGCCTTCAGACAGCTCAGGGGGCGGATAACTCCATACCTTCCAACATTTCTCCAATGAAAATAGGGACATCCTGGGATCAAATCAGAAACTGCAACGGCTTCTCTAAATCAGGGACGTCCCTGGAAAACAGGGAGGGTTTGTAAGTTGAAATGGCTCCATGCCAGACACCAAATGGGTGGGGGCCCTCCCTCAATTCACTGGTAGTCAGAAAGCCAAAGGCCAGAGTTGGAGACACACCAGTTGCACTACCCTAAAACCACCTCTGAAGAGGTGGCCTTGCTACAATAGAAAAAGCAAAGGGAACAGCTCTGAGCCAGTGGATCCGGCTACGCGGCATTCCCCTTCTGCTGCTGCAGGTTGCCCTCATGCAAGGTTTCTATTCCTTTTTCCCAAAGAGCAAGTCCACCTGCAGCCTATGGTTATCATTATGATTTTTAATCTCGTAAACTACATCTTGTAAAGACATTACTTTTCACCCAGGCTTTCTGTGACCCATAACACTGGACCCTGTTTTTATTTCTTTCAATTCTTGCTTTTAATTATTTTACATGCTTTTATGCAATTGTGATTGTAAGTGCTGCGCTGAATGTGTACCTACTTGTAGTGCCCATGGATATAACCGTTGAGGAATAAAATAAAATAAATGAAACCATTACCCAATGATGAGCAACCAACAATCCCGTCTGCCTCCCCCCCCAAAAAAAAACACACAAGAAAGACCAACCTGCAGCATTTTCTTTTAAAAAAAATATATTTTATTTTCCTAGATTTTTTTAAATAACATTTTTCCATTCATCCTAACACCAAATTCCTCTTGTTTGACTCCCCACCCCCCCACCCCCGGTTTCCTTTTCCTCCCACTTCTTCATCTGCATATAATTACTTTTCCAATTGATTTTCAAGTTTTCATATTTAACTAAAATATCAAATTACTTCATAAATGCTACACCAATCCTGCTACTGTTTTGACATATTCAGTGTTCTTTAACATAATCTATAATTTCCCCCCCAATGTCTCTCGAATTTCTTCTTGTCTTGGTGTCTGATTTTCACGGTAAGTTTTGCCATTTAGGCATAGTCCATCATCTTAATTGTCCATTCTTCCTTCGATGGTACACCATCCTCTTTCCACTTTTAGGCAAATAGCATTCTAGCAGTCATTGTAGTGTACATAAATAATCTCTTTACATTCTTTGGTATTTCTCCCCCCGTTATTCCAAGCAAAAAAGGCTTCTGGTTTTTTTATGAAAAGTTATCTTAAACATCTTTTTAAATTCATTATATATGATTTCCCAGAAGTCTTTTGCCTTTTTACAGGTCCACCACAAATGCAAAAACGTATCTTTGTTATCTTTACATTTCCAGCACATTTTAGAGGTATTTTAATACATTTTCGCAAGCCTGCTCACCCTTTCGTGTGTGGAGGCATTGCAGGATGTAGGAGGCTTCACTGGGGCCCTGATAGGGGAATTCAACCAGGCTGGGCCCTTCCTTTGCCTATCAGGAACCGGATCCTATGCCTGCACCCTGCTTTGGCAAATGGGGATGCAGGCTGTGACTTGGGCAGTGCGGAGCAAATGGAGCCAACGGTGGGTTTCCCTTGGATCCGCCCCTCACTCATTTATGCAGCCAGCACCCACGCACCCTCAGTTTAAGCCGATAGTCAATAACTTTGCTGTGGCATCAGTGGTCGCCGTCCTTCAAAGGGGCCGGGTAGGAATTTGCCCACTGGGCTAATTGGCACTGAACCGGTGGTTTTGCCTACCTCATAGCAATCATCACAACTGGTTGGGCATTGGGGCAATCCTTTGTTTTGGATGGAGGGGAGGTTGTAGTCGCCACCTGCCCCTCCAAACACTGGGTATCCCGTTAAAGGGATCCTGGGGGAGTGGCCATGTCAGTGTACCCAGGGGGGCCAGGGCCAAAGGTACTCCCCCAGATGGCAGTCCCTGCAGGGGTCACCCTATTGGATGTAAGTCTTAGGAACCACCACCTGGATTGACCACGTGTCACTTCCGGCGTGTGGGCTGGAAGTATTTCGATTGCCCCATGCGCAAACCTCTTTCATCTGTATTCAATAAAGCTGTGGCCTGTTTTGACCCAAAAGCAGTCTCTTTGGCCTCTCATTATATGGGTTGGGGTATGGGAAGTCCGATGCCTAGTCCTGCAATCTTTACCGGGGTCAAATACCAACGCAGCCTGCAGCATTTTCAATGGTTGCATGCTTTGAGCCCAAGTGGATGGCAATAAGCTTGCTCTGGTTAGAGAGGCTAAGCATTCTCCACTCTGTGCTCCGGGTAGCTGTGCGTGTGCTCATGCAGCAGATCTTAGACTCGGCAGCTATAAAAGCTGCAGAGCTAATGATGCCTCCCATGACAATTCCTCGCCTATTGTAAAGTGATAATTACTTTTAATATTCTTCTGGAGGTGCTTTGTAATTTAATGGATGGGTTGTGCTACAAGGGAAGCTGAAGACTTGTTACTTACAACATTTTAATTTTTTTATCCTTGAACAGCAAAAATTGATAGTTTGATGAGTGCCACCACTGACAATATCAGTTGCTGGGATAAATTTATATGGTGGGTAATAGAGCTGAGAAGAGGGAAGGAAAGAAGGAAGCTAGGAAGGAAGGGAGGGAAGGAGGGAGGGATGTGTGGCTTTCTAAATACAGATTTAAATACAGAGTGATACCTTAGTGGGTTGGGGGTGGGTCCTTCAAACACCACATCATCCCTGACGATCATTCATGCTTGGCTGGGGTCCATAGGAGTTAGGAGTTCAATGGTATCTGGAGGGCTACAAGCTCCCCACCCATCTTAGGGTCTTACTACATGTGGCGCTGTGGGTTAAACCACAGAGCCTAGGACTTGCTGATCAGAAGGTCGGCGGTTCGAATCCCCGCGACGGGGTGAGCTCCCGTTGCTCGGTCCCTGCTCCTGCCAACCTAGCAGTTCAAAAGCACGTCAAAGTGCAAGTAGATAAATAGGTACCGCTCCGGTGGGAAGGTAAACAGTGTTTCTGTGCGCTGCTCTGGTTTGCCAGAAGCGGCTTAGTCATGCTGGCCACATGACCCGGAAGCTGTACGCCGGCTCCCTCGGCCAATAAAGCGAGATGAGCGCCGCAACCCCAGAGTAGGTCACAATTGGACCTAATGGTCAGGGGTCCCTTTACCTTTATATGTGTCAGTGGCAATTGCATCAGGGATGCTGGGTCTGCCCAGAATGAAATATATAGCATGAAGACTTGGGGGAAGAGCCTTTTTGGTGGTGACTCCATATTTGGAGTTTCCTGCCCACTGAAGGGCATGTGGCTCCTACGTTAAGCTCTTTTAGCAAACAGGTAGGACATACCCCTTTCAGTAGGTTTTTGGAGGAGTGGTGGGGTGGAGAATGATTCGCTTTTTTCAACTGGATTTTTGTGGAATTGATGAATAATTCAATGCTGCCTCCCCTCCCCCTTTTACGTGTGTTGAAGTTACAGGATTGTTTTATTATATATGATTTTTATTTTATTGTTTAATATTTTGACGACGTAAACTGCTCCGGAGTCTATTGGTGTGGTATGACACAAAACTATTAAAATAAATGAAAGAATCGCTCTAATGTTCTGCCCCACCATGTCACCGATAGCACTTAACTTCATGGAATCACTGTGACAGCCTGCCCCTTTGCATCATACGCTACTTAGTCAATCTAAATTGTATTATGTGCATTAAAATTGGATTAATACAAGCCGCCCGAAAGCACATCTTGATCAATGTTGGCTTTCAAAGAACAGCTACAGTTAAAAGAATATGTAAATCGTTTGTATGAAATTAAAACATTTTTCTTTTAATTTAATATATAATGACAGAACATTGGCAAAGGCTCTCGCCTTAACTATAGAGCTCTTCTTGCAGCATTGCGGTGATCCAAGGAAAGATTACAGAGGGCAGAGTTTACTGTGAATACATTATGCAAAATCTCTATTGATACAGCAAGAAATATTATTAGATTATAAAATATTCTATTATGTATTATAATATAATTACAAGACAATATTCTTTTTGGCAGAAAGATATCATATCGTGTAATACTTTGCCTTGGCATATGAATATATGGGGGTGTTAGTTTGCATTTTCCAATCTGGGAAGCGGTTTTGGCAGGCCTGTCTCTGCACCTCACCCCAAACACAGGGGCAGATTTAGGACAAATGAAAGGAAAAACTTCACACAGCAGATAGTTAAGGTTGCCATATTTACGGAATTTCCCAGGCATAGCCAGGATTCGGCCCTCATAAACAGAAATCGCTGAAATGTCCAGGAAAATCCAGACATATGGCAGCTGATGTCGGAAGTATAGATTTTGGTGAATATCATTAAAAATAGTTCTCTCTTTTTGAGATTTTGCAAAAAAAAGTTCAACAACTTTGGGCAGAACTAAAAAAAAGCTCAAGAACTTAAAAAAAAAACCCAAAGAAAAAACTCAACACCTTTGCCAAAAAAACCTCAACCTTTGTGTCCAGGTTTTCACTTTTTGAAATATTGCAACCCTAGTTAAGCTCTGAAATTTGAGATGCAGTGTTGACAACTGCTTAATACTAATTACTGTTATTCAGGTAGGTAGCCGTGTTGGTCTGACGCAGTAGAAATATATATATATATAAAATAAAACGTCCAGTAGCACTTTAGAGACCAACTGTGCTTGCTCTTGGTATGAGCTTTCGTGTGCACACACACTTCTTCAGGTATCTAAAGAAGTGTGCATGCACATGAAAGCTCATACCAAGAACAAATTTAGGTGGTCTCTAAGGTACTACTGGACATTTTTTTTTATTTTTTCAGTTACTATTGATTTCAGTTTCTTTGATTTCTTACCCACCCTTCACCACAAGGTTCCAATGCAAGTTACAGCAGTTTAAAAACACAATATTAAAGTCAGTTTAAAATAAATTACAGCCACAAGAATAGAGTAGGTCCTGAAAATATATCTCTCAATTGTCAAAGGCCAAGGAAAAGACATATGATGGAAACTGCAGTGAAAGTGCCAGGCACATTTCCTTATGAGTTCAAAGATAAGCCCTTATCTTATGAATATGTTAAGCTTTTACAGAAAGCTGTGTAAAATATTGCTCAAAAGTACAGTTTAGTATAAGACCCCAATGAGTTATCAAGATATATCAGGAATATGAGCTATGCTTAAAGCCAGTTTGGGTAAAGTATTGTTATTTTTAGCCAACCAGCTTTTTCTCAGCCTTACATACCCAAGTCTTTCCCCCACCTGCTGCCTGTATTCACTCAGCCCAATGAAAAATCACAGAAATTAATAGCTCACAGCACTGCCGTGTCTCCCACGGAGTTTCAGTCTGTCACTGCCTTGGCAAGGGGAGACCAGAAATTATTAAGTTCTTTATTTCAGAATTGTAGATGCCACAGGCCAGAACCCAGCGGAAACTTCGCCTACACAAAAATCATATTGAAATGAATGGGAGTTGTGCAAGTGCATCAGAGGGGTCTTCACAAATTCCATTTGTTTTAATGAAGCTTGCACAAATAAGTAGATTTTTCTACTTCTGGCTTATTGTGTGCATCTTAAGACTGATTTCCCCTCTGGAATCCTGGAAGCTGCCTTCTGCTGAGTCAGAGTGTTGGTCCATCTAACTCAGGACCAACTTCTAACTTCACTGATTGGCAGTGGCTCCCAAGGTTTCAGATGGGGAATGTACCCAAACCTACCTGCAGATACTGTGGATTGAACCTCCTGCATGCAAAACAGATGCTCTACCAATGATTTATGGGCAATATTGATACTTGCTAGATATGGTTTTTGTTTGCTCTGTGTGTGTGTGTGTGTGTGTGTGTGTGTGTTGGAGAAAGCAGAAGTCTACACGAACTGCTCTGCTTAACTACAGTGGTATCTCAGGTTAAGAATTTAATTCGTTCTGGAGGTCCGTTCTTACCATGAAATTGTTCTTAACCTGAGACACCACTTTAGCTAATGGGGCCTCCTGCTGCCGCCTCTCCACCAGCGTGCGATTTCTGTTCTCATCCTGAGGTAAAGTTCTTAACCCGGGGTACTATTTCTGGGTTAGCGGAGTCTGTAACCTGAAGCGTCTGTAACCTGAAGCGTCTGTAACCTGAGGTACCACTGTACAAGAAAACTATATCCTCATGTGTTCTAATAAAAAGGAGGGTTTTTATAATCCTACTTCATCTCTGCTGAGAGCAGAACCTATTGGAACGTACAAGGCTCAACGTGTACACCACCTCGGGAGCCACAGGCAAAGAGAATTATACTCATAAATTGGTCCAAGCATTATTGTGGTGTCGGTGTTGGTGGTATTATTGTATCCAAAACGCAAGGTATAAACTGAATGCCAAGACTAATGATGATGAGATAGTCTACATAGGAACCCCGTGGGATGTAGTGGAATGTTGGATTAGACCTGAGATTCGAGGGTTCAAATCCCCACTCGGCCATGAAGCTCACTGGAGAAGAACCACAAACACCACCTTGAACTCCTTTGAGGAAATGTGGGATATGAATCAGATTATTTGTCTATCTAATCGAGTATTTTGGTAGAGGCTTTCAACTGGGGAGCCTTTCCCATTCTGTCATGTATCTAATACTGATATATCTAATACAGTGGTACCTCGGGTTAAGTACTTAATTCGTTCTGGGGGTCCGTACTTAACCTGAAACTGTTCTTAACCTGAAGCACCACTTTAGCTAATGGGGCCTCCTGCTGCTGCCGCGCCGCCGGAGCACGATTTCTGTTCTCATCCTGAAGCAAAGTTCTTAACCTAAAGCACTATTTCTGGGTTAGCGGAGTCTGTAACCTGAAGTGTATGTAACCTGAAGCATATGTAACCCGAGGTACCACTGTATTGATATAACTAGGATTACCTATAAATAATTACCAAATACTCCAATATACAATGATAGTATTATTCAAAGACACCAAAAGGGACAATATCATATGTCTGTCATATCAATAACTATTTATGAAAGTCTGAGTGCCAGCTGATCTCTCATATTTATATATTGAAGCATTTCTTTCCTCTTCAAGACAAAGCACATTTTAACACATAAGTTGCTCTTAAAATGTTCAGTAACTTTTCACTAGATAAACTGAAACTAGCAAAAGGACGTATCATATAATGTTCGGCTCGCTTCAGGAATTGGCATAAGTACAGTGGTAACTATATTAATTTATCTTCAGCAAACAGTGTTTAAGTGAAGAAGACAGAACTGCAGAAAAGGATTAACTTTCTATTATAGTAAAGAAGAAAATTGCGGATGTGAACCTAGTGGGTGATCTCTATTAAGTAATTTCGTACACGTGAACCAGAAAAGGAAGGAGGTGGAATCTGACTTTGCTGCTACAGTAGGTAAGCGCTAATATGTTCAATGGATACACTAAGCTTTAGGATCAGTGCAGACCCTGGGATTGTTGGGCTTTCTACAAACATTGCTCAAGAATACCTATGCCAAGCAAGACTCCTATTCCATCGGGTCAATTAAAGTGTTTGCATTGGCGCAAGGTTGGAGGCACCAGCATTGCAACAAATTCTCTAGCAGCTAGCCATTTGTTATGCCAAGATCATTGTAAGCATAGTCAGTTATGGGCTGACAGAGCATCCTGCAATCAAAGTCATTGTTTAGACTCATATACTTCCTTGGAACGCTCCAATCTACAGTGAAGAGACTATTTCTGGGTAAATATCATGATGGTGACAATCTTGCCCCCACTTCTTCATGCAAGCCTAGCTGAAATAAGTGGAACCTATATAAGCTTACTTGAACTCAACGGGAAGATTTTTTTTCAAGGCAACTTAACTAAGTTTTTCTTTCTGATTTTATTTTATATTCCCACCCACTTCTTTTGTCACAACAGACAGGATTTTTCAGCAGAGGAAGAGAATTTGTTTTCAAAATCACTGTAGTTGTAGCAATTGGATTATTTTAAAAAGAGAAACTGAAATAACTGGGGAGAAGTGGAAGGGACCCACTCCCCACCTACAAAATAAAGAATGTAATTGAATATTTAAAGAAAACCAAAATGCTGAGAGGAGAATAGAAACCAAGAGCTGCAGTGCATGTCAGCTAAGAAGCCAAGGGTGAAATGAATTCAGGGAGCTTATCTTGCCCAGACCTTAAGTTTAGTCAAAGGAAATAAGTAAAAAGAGAAAATTCTGCAGTAAGCAAAGAAAAATGACCAGTGATTCCAATTCTGTTTGGAACAATAGGGGGAAGCAGATAAGGAAACAGCAGCATGTGGCAAAGTGACAAGGATAAGCCATTCCAAGCCATTTGTTTCTCAATTCAGAGCCATAACCTAATGTTAATTGCTTTAGGCCTGCGAGATCCAGGTTAAATTCCTGGCTCTGTTATGAACTTGCTTGTGCCATACTCTCTCAGTAATAATACAACACCACCTCATGAGGATTTGAAATGATAAACAAAAGCAAATACAAACAAAACCCAACTAGCTATATAGATGAATATCTGCAACAACGACATGCAAGGGTTTGCCACGAAGCAAATGCTGTTTCTAGTTGAACAAACACAACTAGAACAGTTGCTGGTCCGTAACGCTCAAAATGCTCCAGTCACCTGGGTAACATGCATGCACCCAAGGAGTCAACTCCTAGGGGCCAAGGTCCCTTCAGCTCCCCCAATAAAATATTTGAGGGGGCTGACCCCTCAAAGATGATGGGCACTGCCATTCAAATAGTGCGCGTGCACCATGCCTTGTGATCGGAGATGTGGGGCAGGGCTTACCTGCTCACCCCCCCCATGTTTTATTCAAGTTGGCTCACACCCTTGGGTTCTATGAAGGATGGAAAGTGGGATGGGATATAAATGGAAGAAAATTAATAAAATTACTTGTACTTGGGAAGTAGACTACTGAGATCAAGTGGGCTCACTCCTAGAAAAGATATCAGTCCAGATGTCATTACATTCTGCATACAGGAAAAGCAAACACAGCCTAACATAAAAGAAAAGGTCAGGGAAGACTCTGTAGCTCACATGTTGTTGTTTAGTCGTTTCCGACTCTTCGTGACCCCATGGACCAGAGCACGCCAGGCACTCCTGTCTTCCACTGCCTCCCGCAGTTTGGTCAGACTCATGTTTGTAGCTTCGAGGACACTGTCCAACCATCTCGTCCTCTGTCGTCCCCTTCTTCTTGTGCCCTCCATCTTTCCCAACATCAGGGTCTTTTCCAGGGAGTCTTGTCTTCTCATGAGGTGGCCAAAGTATTGGAGCCTCAGCTTCAGGATCTGTCCTTCCAGTGAGCACTCAGGGCTGATTTCCTTCAGAATGGATAGGTTTGATCTTCTTGCAGTCCATGGGACTCTCAAGAGTCTCCTCCAGCACCATAATTCAAAAGCATCCATTCTTTGGTGATCAGCCTTCTTTATAGTCCAGCTCTCACTTCCATACATCACTACTGGGAAAACCATAGCTTTAACTATACGGACCTTTGTTGGCAAGGTGATGTCTCTACTTTTTAAGATGCTGTCTAGGTTTGTCATTGCTTTTCTCCCATGAAGCAGGCGTCTTTTAATTTTGTGACTACTGTCACCATCTGCAGTGATCATGGAGCCCAAGAAAGTAAAATCTCACTGCCTCCATTTCTTCCCCTTCTATTTACCAGGAGTGGCCATAATCTTAGTTTTTTTGATGTTGAGCATCAGACCATATTTTGCGCTCTCCTCTTTCACCCTCATTAAAAGGTTTTTTAACTCCGCCTCACTTTCTGCCATCAAGGTTGTGTCATCTGCATATCTGAGGTTGTTG